TGACAAGTTCCGGACCCCCGCCGATCGTATCGGGCATCATTTCGCCCGACAAAGGGCGCTACGGAACAGAAATGCCTTTGTGCTGGACCACGTTAATGTAACTGGCCACAGTACACGTCACTAATGGAGCGACCGTCTCAGATAGCGTTTGACTCCTTATACGGCTATTTTCTCCGCTTTCGTATACGAACGTTCGAGTTTATTCCTGACGGTTTCAAATAGAGCGTGTGATAGCTTTAGATGTGCGCAAACTATACATAAATATATAGCCGCTACAGGTAGGTAACTTACTGCGGTAGTATGAAGTATTACTTTATGCTCCTGATATACTCTGGTCAGAATGAAGATCTTCATTGCATTCCAGGTTTATGTATGTATATTTATAATTTTGTGTTCCATCTGGAAAGCGAATTAACTGGCCCGCTCTCTTAATGACCCATCAGTGGACCGGATGTACCCGCTGTAAAAACAAGCATCATCAACTAAATCGATTTATTTGCCACCTTCTCTATAAAAAGTGTTGTTTATTTTCATAACATGTACAAACAGACCACTCTTTCGTGTTTCCAGAACATCAAAGTGGGTATCACCTTGGTGGCCTGGAAATGCTGTTTTATTTTTCTCCTTCTTGATAATCCTCTGTCGCCTCTACCACATGTCGTATATGTATGTGAGGATGTTCATGTGGGACACACACATCCTTTTATCTGTACTATATACATAACGATATAACATAACAATCACGGATTCGAATCTTATTATCTTATAGAGCTTAACCTGTAATCTTTCATTAAGTTTTCACGGAAAATCACTATCTTACTTTTTGTCTCCGTACGGTGGCTTATAACATGATGATTTTCAATCTTATATTCTAACTGCTTACTTGGATATGTTAACGGCACCGAGATGTTACTGTCTAATGTCCAATTAAATCAACAAGTTACTTCTACTTCTTCGTAAGCATTGAGTCATCAATACATAATTAATTCCCTTATTGAAAGCATTATGTGTGCAATTCTATGTCTGCTTGTCCGGAAACGGAGCAATAGTGGAGGTTTCCACATCGAGCGTCATTCCGCTACTACATTATAAGCAGTTCTATTTCAATCACGCAGCCTCTATATAAAGCCTAAATTAATTTAATTTTTATTTAATTTTTTTTGATCCCTTTTCCTTAATGACTATAAGAAAGAGGTCGCACTGGAGAGAATAACAAATTGTGAGTTATTCAAATTTCGAATTTCGTAAAGGACTGTCCTCCCAAGGAAGATAATGTACTTATAATATAATTCACCGTAGCGTTCGGGCCGAAATAAATGTTGCCAACGTCGGAATTTGAATTTCTGAATTAGCCCAAAAAATATCTCAATGATTTAATGTATTTTTAGCTGTAGATGTAAACTGCTCAGTAAAAGCATTTTCAATTTTGTCTTGGAGCATGCGGACGGAAAGAGAGACGCTTGCATGTATTCACACGTATATCTACTTGACATAGTTAAATGGAAATTTTATGTCGAGTTTCCGGTAATCACATGGTAAGGTTCCCGTTATATTAGTCATTTGCCTTTAGTCAATTTATAGCCTGTCCTCAAGTCTGTAATATATATCTGTCTGTGTTATACTGTGGCCCTATCACCAAATATAATATAGTTTTGAATGACTGAGAGTTTCCAAAGAATATATCACTAGCACATATCATCAGGTTATATAGTTTTACCACTGGCCAGTTCGTGATGAAAATAATTAATATGTTTCATTGTTATACATAGTATAATTCAATTACAACGTGGTAATCGGTAGCATCGTTTTTCTAAGTTTTTTTTTTCTTATTAATATTTGTTTTTTTCAATTTGAAATATATTAGGAGCGAGTCATAGTGTGCGTTGGCAACACTGGGACGTGAGCGGGAGTCAGTATCAGTACTCAGTACACCGCCGTCCGCGGAGGCTGGCGGACGTCTTTCGCGGATCGCTCTACCTCACGAGCGCAAAGCCGTTGCATACGCGGTCGTAACGTTGATCGTGCAGTATTAAAATGCTCGCAGTAAATACCGATCGATCGAAGCACCGTAATTTCATCCGCGACGTGCCGTTCAGCGTCGATCTAATTCGCATTTAGACGACCATTATCGATTTTATAAGAACTCCCGCCGAGTTTGGGTGATTACGAATTATATGTAAAGGGACCTCAAGTAGGAGTGAGTGGGGTATCGGATAATTTAACGCCATTCGGAGATTCCTTTCAGTGAATTTTAGCATTAAAAACTTATATAAAGGTGTAAATACCATTATCATTTTAACAATACCGTTAAACTTTTACATTAAAGTAATAAAAGTAGCATATTACTATGTGAAATCATATTACGGTAATATACAATCGATCGCTACCATATTTATTAATAGCTTTTAACCGTGTCTTAAACAGCTTTGAATAGAGAATTTAATTTCAACTATATATTATTATTGGATGGATGGATGCAGGTGGCTCAGGATCGTACTTCATGGCAGTCTGTGGGGGAGGCCTATGTTCAGCAGTGGACTCAAACAGGCTGAAATGATGATGATGATGATGATATATTATTATTACGAAATCGATGATAGGACGAAATGCTATTAGAATATTGTAAGAAGTAATCTGCTTAGTCACGAATAACTATTATGTTAATTAACAATCTAAGTCCTAGTAATTGACATCTTTAAAAACTGTTCTGCCTTTTTAACCGACTGCAAAAAAGGAGGAGGTTTCTCAATTCGACCGTATATATATATTTTTTGTGTATTCTGGGATAACTTCGTCATTTATAAACCGATTTTGATGATTCTTTTTTTTGTTGGAATGGAGATATCCCAAGTGTTGTACCATGATAAGGAAACTCAGATCTGATGATGGCATCCCAGAGAAATCGAGGGCAATCCTCAAATGTTATTGATGTTGACAATGTTTTTAGTTTCCGGTGTGAATCCGTTTTTTTTTTGCTCAAAATTATATATTATATAGTTCACTATTGCTAGTACGCATACTGATATAAGCTTTCAATTCCCTTTGTAACTCTCGTCTAACAAATTTACATTGCACATGTTTGCATAATTTTACGGATCGGGATACGGGATAGATTGCAGCCTCCCACACAGTTATAACACTATGAGTGAACAAAGTACGACGTGTGCAGAAATGTTATTAACAGTCAGCCGTGTTTCATAGATGCGGTGCGTTCATGAAATACGGTGTTGTGACTACGAATGAATTGGTAAAAAAAATTCAAATAATTTATAAATATTCATATTTTTTTTATAAACCTGATTGGAACATATCTCAATTTATTTAATTATCTGTTGACTGTTTCAACGTTCAAATAATATCTCCATTATAATTATGGACTGATTTATCTATTATTATTTAAGTATGAACGAATGTGGCACACACCGCTTAGAGAACGAAAACGTTTCATGCATTGAGGAAAAACATAAATATGTAAAGAGAGAAGTTTTAATTAATGTAAACCAGTTAATGAGGAGTTTTGCAATAGAGCCTTTCTCGGATAATGACATTACAATTGAATGTAAAATTATGCTTAACTGAAACATGAGATTAGTTCTAGTTTCCAACATTTATGTGAGAAGACGGCAAGCGAGCCGCAGTGGTTCACCTGATTTTAAGTGACAACCGCTGCCCATGGGCATTTGCACCACCCGTAAGTTTGCAGAGCGTTGCCACCTAATAATAAAGCGGGCCTGAGCTACCTTACTAATCCGACGAAATGCGTGGTCTGTATGGTCGTGGTACTTACCCGGACGGACCTGCCCATTCGTGCAACAGCCGAAGCTGTTGTGTGGCCCTACCACAGTGTGATATTGCGAAAGTAAGCATAACTGAACTGCAGACCAGTTCTTCTTTACGGTATTGCGAAAGATATTACATTACAGTTGATTATAAGTGGTGCTATTTTGGGCTCCTCAGCGCTTAATTCTATTGTTACGGTGATATTACAAAATTACCTAGCAAATGCGTTTGGCCGATAGATTTGAGCGTTTGTCTTATAGCCCGTTAGGTAAATCACAGAATATCAGTGCAAACTAACATTCTAACGGATCGTACTCCCAATATAACCCCATCAGCCCGTAGTGCACGCAATAAACAGTCTGATCTGTTTACAAAATTCTGACGCGAGACTGAAGCCATCCTGTCCGCGATTCTTTTCTAATGATTTCTAAACGAATGTTGGTAGTGATGTTAAAAACCGGGCAAGTGCGAGTAGGACTCACGCACGAAGGATTTCGGGCCATTATGTATGAAAACGGAAAAAAAATCATGTCTGTTGTATGGGAGCCAAACCACCCACTTGAATATTTTTAATTATTTGTTGTTATATCGGCAACAGAAATACATCATCTGTGAACATTTCAACTGTCTTACTATCACGGTTCATCAGATACAGCCTCGTGACACACGGACAGATAGACAGGCAGCGGAGTCTTATTAATAGGGCACCGTTTTACAACGTCATTAAAGAGAAAGTGTATTTTACTTGAATTCGACCTGTGTATGTTTTTTTGACGAAATTTTTCACCTAATATATTCTGTGTTGTATAAAAATTTTACAGTACCGACAAATTTCAACGCACACCCAGAATGGTTCCTGTATTAATTACCTGGTGGTTCCTGTATTAGTAATCACACCCAAAATTCGTGGAATCAAAGAAGCAAAGCATAAGAATAAAAGCGTAGCAACTACACCTTCTATCAGTGATCGTAATATACTATATTATTAATACTATTATATTATTATAACTATTTCGTTTTCATAGCAACCTGCTAAAACTAAGATTAACGGATATTCTTGCTTTCTAATAATGCTTAGTCGAAACCCTTTAAAAACTATACAAGCAATATAATGCGCACGTGTTTCACTCCCGACGGACCAGGGGCATCTCCAAGACAATATCAGTGCACTATAGTGAAGTCCTGAAGTGTGATTAAAGCGGTCACGTGAGAGAACAAATATGGCGTCCTCCAACGGTAAGGAAAGCGGCAAAATGACTGCTTCGATGGACAGCCTCAAGATATCTAGCAAGAATACCTCAGTAGGCTCCTCCAAGCATGCCTCCTCCGAATCGGTGTTGTCCCGCAAGGACAAGGAGTGTCTGCAGATGCAGGAGTGCAAGAAGAAACTCCTGGCGATGGAGCCCCAGATCATAATAAGAGACGAAAACGTAGTGCTGAGGTCACCTCCGCAGAAGAAGATTGTCATGCCGCCACCGATAAATCCGGAGGTGAGTGGGTGAGCTTTGAGGAATTTTGAATTTCAAGCTATCAATTGATAGTTAATAGTTTAGAATTAAGATGTAACGTATAGACCTCAGGTTAATCAGTAACTGTTAAAAGATAATTTGGCATGTGACAAACAAATTACCATATTCTACGTAGTTTGTGTGTAGATTGCAGACCGCCCATAGTAAAATATGCGTCGAACAACACTTACGTCTTAGTAATCTCATGAACTGAAAAACGTGTTTTAAGAACATGATGTGATAATAGGAATTTATTTAATGTAGGTATCACATATTAGAAAGGGGTATAGGTGCTAGTATAGACATAATAAATTAAACGCAGTACACATAAGGACTTTGTGCATAATAATATTGGATTTATTCTGTTATTATTGTAAAATTCTGTTATTATTCTGTTATTAGCGGCGTCACTGCATAAACAGCAAACTTCAGGTTAAAGACATTTATTTATCACAAAATCGAACATTACATAGTTCACTTTTAAGCACATTGTTATCTTTCACCGCGTCAAATTCTAATAGCAAAATTGTGTCAATTAATATTTTTTAATTGTTTATTCTCGTTCTATCGTTAACCAATTGTTTGCATAATTTATCCCGTAATTCCATAGTCAATATATAACAGACATTAGCATAATTCCTCGTACTTCCTATGAGAGCATCATAATTATAAATAATACACAAACCAGATACAAATTCTTAATTCCTAATGGTTTTACGAAGATGCCACCAATTTTTCAATCTTGAACTTCAAAGGTAGTGAATCCGTCACCCTACTGTGGAAATAAATTGAAGACAGCATCATTCAGCACTCACGCATTTGCAGTTAAGAACGCTACGTGAGAAATGTACTTAAAAGTGGTACGGGATTCCAAACTTATAATATTAATATTATCTTAGAAATATGAACTAGTTTACTTCGAATAGGACTGCACTAGCGAAGCTGCTTTGTTACTGTGGTAGGGTCCGTCCTGGTAAGTACCACGACCACACAGAAGACCGGCGTGAAGTAGAACTGTTATACTTTTTTCCTTCCGTCTGGTGAGTGAGGTAGCCGGGGCCCACTTGTGGCAATGCTTGGTGGGCGGCGGTTATCACTTAACATCAGGTGATCCGCCAGCACGCTTCTCACATAAAAAGAAGAAACAAGCTGCGGATAAAGGCTTTTGCAATTCAATACAGTTTTATCCCCCTGCTCCATACATGCCCTTGTTTTCAAACGCATTGATTGTCACCAATTGGTTAGCTTTACAAAAGGGCGAGTTAATCCCAGTAGAAAAGCTTTTCATTTACAACGATTTGCTAACAATCGGTTGAAGATATAAATAGAGCACCTTGCCCCTTATGTTGTTAAAGGTAGATATAGGATACTGAAATGTCATTGTTGCCTTACGCTAGCCCAAAATCTGTATAAGTAATCCGAAAAGCGAATTTAATCTTAGACATAACGTTTCCATCAACATTCCATTACGGTGGTAGGGCCACGCAGCAGCCTCAGCTGTTGCACGAATGGGCAGGCCGGTCCGGGTAAGTAAAACCACGACCTCACAGAAGACCAGCGTAAAGTGGAAGTATGATAAATACTTTCTTGTTTCGTCTGGTGAGTGAGGTAGCCGGAGCCCAATTTTCAAAAGGTTGTCAACGCATCTGTAACCCTCGGGTGTGGCAGATGTCCATGGGCGGCGGTATTCAATTAACATCAGGTGAACCGTCTGCTCGTTTGGCAGCTTTTCACATAAAAAAAAATCAATTATTTACACGTGTGACGTTTAAATAGTTGATGACTTGAATGTTGGTGTTCAATGTACACCAATATTCAAGTCATCGTCCGCGATTCAAACATTGGTAGATCGATTGATTAAGGTACATTCATTTATAAATCAATATATTTTTTGTCACATTTCTTTTCGTTTTCATTACGAACCGTCTAGTTATCGATATCTATATATATCAGCTTATCTAATATGGTTGTTACTATATATAGTCATTTACGAGTAAATCGAGTAATTCGATTTAAGCTCTGATTAAATCTTGATAAAGCAATTGAATTTCAGCCAGGGATTTATTTAACTACTTGAAAGCCAGGGATTTATTTAGCTGAACTGCTTTAAAGTAGTTAAATAAATTGTAGTGAATTATATTTTTATTTAAATTTCTCCGTTATGTTAGGGCTCATTGCCAAATATAACAGGAGGGTTGGAATTCAGCCAGTCAGACTAGTTACTGGTATGCACATTTGGATTTCCCTTTTGGGTGATTTAAAAATAAAATAAAATTTATTAAATTAAGTACTATTAAAATTTTATTTCAAAACAAATCATTGAATATCTAACAACTTGATTACCAAAATTTATGTCTCGAGATAAATGGCCGGTTTCTACATCGTTTAACTGTTTTTCAATGTGTTGAGCTTGAGCAATTGCTAAATTAAGTTAAACTACGTTTTCTAAAACGTAGTTGCGAAAGTTAAAGCCATCGATTTTCTTGGCTTTGTCCCGAAGTAACGCGTAGAGAAACTAATTAAATCAACCCCTCATCAAGTTGAATGAAACTACGCAGCGTACTCCATTTATACGTAGATATCTTTCGTTTAGTATGAATATACTGGCGTCAGTCTATTAAGTAAACTTTACTTCATTACGATAAAAGAAAATCAAAAGATACCAAGCGATAAAGTACTTCATGGGCGTTTAAGCCTAGGTAGGTGGTGGTGCCATATAGTTATAAATATTCGAGCAGAGAAAAATTGAAATGGCAATGCTCAAATATTCCGTAAGTTTGGTTATCATTCTGCAACTTTGTTCGACTTTTGAATAGACTGTTGAATGATAAGTTTTTCACCCAATCAACAATATTAGCTTTGGTCAAATTACCAACTGACAAATTTTTTAGATATGGGCATTAAATTCACTCCCATGGGTATATACTGTAGAATAAGTTAATCTGCTCTAATGATCGGTAAGCTGAAATGTCATAAAGCTCCTAGAACCGATAATCGTTGGGGAAGGTAGGCTCAGTTTTGGCCTGAACAATGTAGGACGAGTCCCCCACTAGATGGAGTGACAACCTGTGCAAATGTGCTGGATGTTGATGGATGCACATGGCTCAGGATCGTGGATCGTGCCAGTCTGTTCAGCATTCAATTAAAACAAGCTGAAATGATGACGATGATGATAAAGATGATACAGTCTTGAATCGGATAAACGGTAGCCATAACCTCCATTCGAATGAATTGTCTTAAGTTTCCCCATCTACCACTGTATCGTTGAATAAACCTTGTCCGATTGAGCTTTGTTCGCGTGGAGTGAAGGGATAACAAAACTTCGTTTCTAGCCATGAACTGTGTGTTGATTTTCTGACAATATTAGTTCTACTTTTTTACATTAACTACAATTAATTACATTGTGTGAATACGAGTATATTTAAATAACATAATTATAAGAAAATTGGAGCGTAATGTTGTACTAGTGTCCTGTAATACAAAAACTTCAGCGCTTGCCATTACTTGAGTGTCATTTTCTCACCGGACCATATGAGTTCCTATAGATTTTTATATTATATCACTACAATATGTAAATGTAGTTGTTAAGTAGCATATAAGAAAATTGGTATGTAATGCATAAGTGTAACGTTCGATAACAAAACTTCGGTGCTGGCCATTAGTTGTGTTGGTTTTCTCAAGGTATGATATCAGGTCCTATACTTATATATATTACAATTTACTTCAATGTGTGAATATAGTTGATAGCATATAAGAAAGTTGGCATGTTATTCCGTGCTGATGTGTAACTTAACCCTGTAGTACACAAGTAGCATTCGATTTTTATTGTCGCTCCGTATAGCGAGATGTGAAGGTTTCCACGCGATTAAATAAATATTATACGTCGGTAGCATGCGGCATCGTTTATTCATTGTTTTATGGAGAACAGTTTTGAAATACAGATGAAATGTCTCAAAGTGAAACCAATGGTCGATTGTCGTTATTTGATATTTATAAAATGTATTAATGTTCATAAGTTGTATTAATGTTTATAAAATTATTTAACTACCTAAATAGTAACAAAGGTCACTTCTTTTTACATCCTGAGTGATTTGTTACCTATTATTAAATAATGAGAATGATGTCTTAATGGGTTTCTGGTTTTGATAAAAATAATTACAGGTTTATTGGCTCTTGTGACTTTACGCGAGTTTAATTCTACATTATTAATATTTAAAATGACTGCGTGTCTGATAAAATCAAAAGTTGAATATAAGTACGAGTAGAATTAAATACCGGTAGGTACGATTTTAAGTGCTATTATTAGAGATCGATATTGCTCTTTAAGACCATGATTCTTTCCTAATCTAAATGTAATTTATTTTCAGGTAAGTACGAGCTCAAACGTAAGCCCACCCCAAAGCTGGTGTTAGGTGAGAAATAATTTTGTCATTTAAACTTAAATTCCTATGACATTAACCAGATGTGTAGGTAACACATACATCTAATTACATATATGTAATTATCTATTTTCAGATACATATATATTAAAAATACATATGAAATTGAGGTTAATCGCGACAAAAGAGAGTATCATAACATTGAAATGATCAACGTTAGTCATCAGAATCATCCCAAAATAATTTAAAAAAGAACCAAAATCTGCATTGCATTGCTACGACTGTATTATGATCACTGACCACTGAATAGTGGCCTATCACCTGAACCTCATACTTATTGTATTAGGTTCAGGTGAGAGACCACTCTAGTATTTAAAAAACACATCACTACGGGTACAAGTCTCGTTTTAGGTTTTTACGACCATCCGCATAACATACGCAGCCGTACGCAATCACCTATGGATATGAATTTTCAAACTTTTCCACTCACGAAAGGCACCGCTTCGTACGATACATTTCTAGAAAAACTAGAAAGAGACCGAATCGATTTTGGTGTATTCTCTGTTAGATTTTAGACGCACGCTGTATTTCTAATGATACGAGTTTACTCAT